TTGGCTACAATTGGTTGGCTACAAATAGGTTGGCTACAAATAGGTTGGCTACAAATAGGTTGGCTACAAATAGGTTGGCTACAAATAGGTTGGCTACAAATAGGTTGGCTACAAATAGGTTGGCTACAAATAGGTTGGCTACAAATAGGTTGGCTACAAATAGGTTGGCTACAAATAGGTTGGCTACAAATAGGTTGGCTACAAATAGGTTGGCTACAAATAGGTTGGCTACAAATTGGTTGGCGACGACGACAAATCACAAATTTTTAAAATAGAGAAGATACCTCAAAGGAAACACAACTCTTCGCTACTGCAAAGATCAACTGGTTAATGGTGTTCAAGATAATAAACGCTGTTTATTGCAACAACCATACGAAACCCATAAATAAACTGTGCAGAGTTTACCGATTATTAAAACAGGTTAACACAGTAACACAACACACGAAGACTGGCAAACTTTCTCGTGAAGAAGATTATATATTTTTTTTCTGGAAAAGAAACCGTTGTATGTATTTCACCAAGCAAATATACTATTCACAGGCTTGTGAGACAATGTGACGAAACAGGATGTGCGCGTGAGATAAACGCCCAAAGAGGAAAAAAAAACAGCTAATGCAACAACCAGCGATGGAACAAGGCCAACAATCGACGTTAATAACAACAGAAAACATTCCTCAAACAACAATGCAAGGGAAAAAAACTATTCGTTTCCATACACAAAAAAAGTTGGGACAACCATTGTTGGACGACGTGGTAATAAGTCGTTACGGTTTCGCAAATCAGTACTGAGAAACTTACAGAAAACGCTGAGATTTGTATGTCGCGTGGTTCTCAGATGAGACACTTCTGTTTGCATGTTAAGATTCTGTGCCTCCGAAAATCCATGGCTTAATGTTGCTAATCCACTGAACCCACAGATTTCAACCGTGGTGTGTACGTGTTTACATCAACCTAACAAGGGATGAATTTGTTCCTTATTCTGTGGGACGAAACGAATATAAATTCCATTGCTCGCGTACAAGACATTACAAACCTTACGCAATTCCTCTCCGAAAATAAAAAAAATTATTCTGCCCCAATGCAAAACAATTATTAATGGGGTTAAAATGAAGAGATAGAAAAATATTGTCCTCGGATATTCAGCTGCTGGGGAAAAAAAAAAATCCCGTTTTTAACGAAAACTTGAGAGTCCAATACTGTCACCACGGAAATCTTACAAGCCTATAAAATCTAGTAAGATGGATTGCACGTCACAACGTCCGAAAATAAAATAGCCGGATCCCAAAATCCATTAAACCAGAATGCGCACGTCTTGGTGACGTCACGTTTCTCTTCCCACGACCCCCCCCCCCCCCCCCCCCAAGCCCCCTATTCAGGTGCGCGATGGATTCTCAAGGATAAAGCAGCACTGACCACAAGAATCGAAACCCAGTTCCCGGACTCCCCTTTAACAGGGGTTCAACTCACGCTTGGTTCATTCGATCCAAATTGAATTAACATCCCATTTGTTGCGAGGTCCATTCGGGGGAAATTCGCAAACTGGAGAAATTTATTGGCTCAGAAACTTAATTACTACTGGCAATGGGCATTTTATTATGCCTTATTCACACGAAGTGCATAAAATGAACGATTAAAAAGACGAAATCGTGATTGTCCGAGTATTCTAATATCAGAAGCTACTTAACGGATTCCGAAGAAATTTGGTTCTGAGGGTCTGCACCAAATTTTTTTGTTGCGAACAAAAACTTCAGAAAACGCTCGTCATAAAATCCAATTCCTATGGAAATCTAATTTGAATTTCTATGCGGCGAATATTGAACGAAATGAACAGGAAATATTTATTTATAGTTGACGAAGTGTGGTATCTGTGGAGTCAAGAGCTTTGTAACAGGAGATCCGCATCTGCAATGAACGTTCGTCAAGGTCAATGAGTAGTCCGCGCGAAAGACAAAAAAAGTAGAGCACTTCACGTCAATCAAGGTAAATTACAAATAATATGCGTCTAATTTCCAAATACTTCACAGTTAAATTTTAAAAACTTACAAGCAAGAGCCAAAAATCTTTTTTTTTCTTCTAGTTAGAGCATTTCCAAATACTTCACAGTTAAATTTTCAAAACTTACAAACAAGAGCCAAAAATGTTTCTTTTTTTTTAAGTTAGAGTAACGTTCTTGCTTGTTGAAAAATAACATCCATGTTCTCCACTTCAAATGCGCTGGTAACAACATCCAACAAATCATTTTGCCCACACGGTGTATTTATGTTTCGTAGAATATCAGAATAGACCGTGATTATTTAATTTCCCCACATCAGCGTTAACCAAATGATTTTTTATAATGAAAATGGATGGTTTTCTTGGTATGAACCGAATTTCAACACGCTCTTGGCGTATGAAAGTGAAGTCTTCCCAAATTCCGACATTATTTAACGGTAGAATAAATTCCATGACGCGGGGCCCCAATGTTCATTGCCGTCACCACAACAGCTGGACCGGATTCTTACGCCGTCTCATTGAAATTTCCAAATCCCCCCATGATCTTTCTTCAAGGCCATTAGCAAAGTCACGTTTCTGGACCAGTGGCTAGTTCACTATTCGACCACCGCTCGATACTCATCTATCACTGCCCCGTGAGGTGTGTCCAATCAGCACATTAACGTATGCTTCGTCCGACGTTAGAAGCTTCAGCTCTGATCCGGCATTCGACTAGTCTCGGAGTAAACGTATTTCACTTTTTTTCGCCTGCGAGTATAGGCTACTTCTCTCTGAAAACGTTCCAACAGCTCCAGTCCATTTCAATACTAGTCCTGACGTATTTATGATTTATTGAATAAATCAGTCATTTTATTATTATTCAAAATATGGTTTGTCGCGTTGACTCCCAAGGGATTTTTGCCAGGAAGAAATTACGTCTCACTCCGATGACACACACGTAATCTTTACTGCGATGTTAGAAATATATTAAATGTTTCCACGAACAAAAACATTCCTGTAACCCATCGGTGTCTTTCGATATAAAAAAATCTGCGCTCATGAGACGCCAGAAATGGATGTTATTACACGCTTCATGCGACTAGCGGACCCGAGTTTGCCGATCCTATGTCAGTTAAGTGCATCTGCACCAGAGTAACTGATGACCCTTTAATTAGCCTAATAAAAATTCTGTCGCTCGCTCAACAAAGACGTAAGGTTTTGGTACACGCAGCTTCAGAGGAAAATTCACATCGCCTGGTTTCCAGCATCATTCTGTATCCTGAACAGCGCGGTGACTTCAAAAGCACAGGCTTTCTATACGTAACAAATTTCACGGATGCAGATGGGCAACTAGAAGGACTTCGACGAAACTTAGATACAACATTCTGCATCCAGAAATAGAAAATTCGTGCGGAACCTTGAAAACATACATCAACACCGGTTCTCTGTAAATAAACTGATTGCCACTTTGTCCGCTGCATATCCCACACGGACTGATCTGGGCGCGAACCGGACCTTGGCGGAGACAAACCGTCTAAGCGGCCTTTCAAATTGTATAACATCACGTAACTCCGTCGACTGAAAGTCGAAAAACTCATTCAAGTATCAAAATCAATAAATTCATATCTTCGTCGATTTTTCTGGTTGCTTACGAAATAAAATAATCTCGGTCGATCAGTAGCGTGAAATTGGAGTTACGAGAATGTTTCTGATTTCATCATAAAGAAATAATTACGATCGATCGCAATAGAAATCACATAAATCGCCCAATTTTCCGACCACTTTGCACTGAAAAAGAAGTACGGACCTCGTTTCATATAATGCAAACCGAAGTTCGAATAAACAGCATTTAAGAATCCAGCCCGTACCGCGAAGTAAACACAACACTTCACCATTACTAAAAGCAATTGGTTAATGCTATCTAAGGAAATATTGGCTACGGACTTACTGCATTCCTTGCAAGTCTCAAGATTACAGTCGCTGACTGTATGTTACTCCATTTGCGGGCCGCGATTAAAAAACCTTCCGAATACAAATATTACGCTCCACCTTAGAGCTGTGCCTCATCGGCACAGCACTTCAATGTTCTCGAGTTGGAGCCAAGCTTGGCAAGGGTTTTATTGACATCTTCCACATGTCGCACACTTTTCAAATAGCATTTCTGGAACCGGTGCAAATAATTCGTCGGAAAAACCTACTTACGTAATTGCACTTACCTGCAAATTAAAAACCCCGGACCAAACTCGATGAAATTTGTAAATTGCAGGCAAATACTAACGTTTCGGAGGAAAATACTGCTTCCATCTTCAGGGCGGAAGTTTACATTCCTTCAAAATGTTGACATCTACTGTCAAATCAACATGGCGTTAGTATCCAGAAAACCGACATCGAAATCTTCCACGCCATTACAACCCTAAAGCTCTACTGTCACAAAGGAAAACAAGAAGCGTGTCGCGCCTGCATTAAAACTGTGGTAAACGTTCAGCTTCACGCTCCAACTGCCTTTTTTTTCCGCCGGAGTACGAGCAACCGGAATCGGCTGGGCCACCTCGAGAGCTTTCCAACGGGGCATCGAACCTCAGCCGTCTAGTCCGTAGAGGACGGAAGGATGTGACCTGTTTTACGGATAATGGACACGCTGTTATATTGAGGCATGTAGAAACCACTGAACTTCCTGTAAAAATTTCCTTTGTTCTCAGCTCTAATTACTTAGCACAACTTTATGTTCCGGGTTTACCCAAAGCCTCATGGCAAATTACTCACGTCTCGCATTTGTACAATGTGGGAATTGTACTGCTAAAAACTGGAACATTCCGACGTCTTGGGGCTACGTATAACTAAGTACAGTTCTCGTGTAACAGAACAATGGTATCATGAAATGAAGACTAAAACGTCGCTCTCATTTCAGTGTCAAGAAATATCAATTGTCGACCAGAATCTTTGGAACGCAGGCGGAGTGCATTTCCGGTCGACGGAACCAAACACCAAGTGCACATGTAAATACTTAAGTGGCAATAAACTTCACATACCTGCTGTTATAAATATAGAAATGCCCTCCGGATGGGAAAAGGTTCTTCCACTATTCTGACGTAACAGTCAACGTGAGAGGAATAACAAGTTCTTTCTTCTTCTTCTTCTTCTTCTTCGACGAACAGACTTCGTGGATAGGAAAAAAGGGTGATAAAAAACGAACAAAGGAACTCTGTGTAGGTGTTACTAGCGAGCCACTTTCAAAAACTTGTTTCTGGCACAAAAATGCTCAAAAAAAATCACAGCGTCAGAAATTCATTGCTGCACAGGAATTAAAATATTATCGCATTTCATTTTTTATATATTAATAAAATCTGAGAACAATTAACACTGAATTGCTACACGCAACTACGTAAACTCGCAACCTCGGCGTTCTAAACTCGACTGACTTGCAATTTGAAACGGTCGGCGCTAGTGCAAGCTTCGTGCATTCCCGTACAACTTCGGCAGTACGTCAATACGTAACTGCTGTACACCCGATTCAACAAGTTCTTCATCTTGCACCGCAACTTGCAGCGATCGCCAGCAGATCGCAGCAATTCGGTTGACGTCATCGTTTTGGCAGAATTGCAGAGAACAAGTATAATCACGTTTCAGACTTCCCTGGCATTCCGTGACTGAATTCAAAATAGTATGATCGCAGGTTACGAACGAACGTTTATAATTGACTGTACCAACGGATAAAGAACAGGGTAAAACATAACGTGCCTGCGGAAAAGAGACGAACAAACGCCGAAACAAAGAAAGAGAGAGAGAGAAATACATACTTTCAAAAAGTCTTTGTTTCGTTTCTGAATACACATTTCAACCGACCACCTGCTTTAGCATTAATGTGGAGAAAAAATTAAATGCTTCCATGATGTATAAAGAAGCCAAGATAATAATGGAAATATGGCAATTGGTTAAAAATAAATATTTCCACTCTATTTATGTGACAATCCCTAAATACAAATCTCATTTATCCCCAACAACGCACGTCAGTGGAACAAAGAACTTGAAGATACATAAACCTACAACAAACATTGTCGACTAACTCCAGTTATTCACCAGGAACACGAGAAGCTGATAGTCATTCAACTACTCTCAAAGCCCGAGTCGAGTGATTAGTGGATCAAAGGGCCATGTCCCCCGGAGTACCAGGCCGTAACACTTGCTATTTGAATTAATGGCTGCTTCCTCCGCCGGGGGGCGTGGTGCGTGCCTTGTCATGCAGCAAGGGTCAACGACTAACAAACAGCGAGGGTTGTTCCCGGAGTAGATGAATTTACTTGCCTAAATATACATTTGTCATTGAGAATTTGAGGTCAGGTTCGCAATGTTCCCCGTGTTTTTTGTCCTCGATCGTAAATGTTTTATATTTTGATAGAGATGTCAGTCCCTTCATGACCATTTCACTCTTCCTGACTCATCGCATTTTAGTTTTTCCTTCGACGCTTCTCAGACGGTGTAAACAAAACAAACTTGTCACCAGGAGTTGCATAGCTCCTGGCGCTTTAACCCCGGGTACCCACTTCGTTTCCCGGCGGTGCCCGGATTTATAACTTGTGTTGGGCAAGGCCTTGGTCTAGGCAACACGGAGTTTTCCTCTGTGGCATCCCAACAATTACTCCATTCACACACAGAAGAAGGCAATTGCAAACCACTTCTGGATCATCTGCCAAGAACGTATATGAACAGGTCCCAGTCCGAGAAAAGGATGGAAGGATCCTGTTCATATGGACCTGTCGTCAGACAGAACACTAAATAAAAAAGAAGGTTAATTACTGTGTTCACAACAGACCGCCACTACCCACAGCCACATTAATCCAATCCATACCCTTCCCAAAGATTAAGTTTCTCCTCCCACCTATGACCAGGCTTCCGAACGGTCTGTCCGACCCAAATACTGACCACGTATTTATTTTCTGCAATTTTTCTGCAGGAAACGACACAATCGAAGGAAAATAATTAAAACGGCACCATCACAATGGCTTCCTTTCCAGGTTTAAGTACGATTAATTACTGGAAACAGCCAGTTATAGCAATGAAACTAAACTAATGTTACAATATATTGCATAAGCCACCACAAGAACCTGACATCTCACAAATGAATTCTATTTCTGCAGTGACCAAAAAACCTATCACACACACAAAGTTCTCCGTCAAAAACGACGGGAAAATGCATATACAGATCAGTTTGGAATATAAACTCAAGATCCTCTGAATCTATGCTGTTCTGTCCACGGTCGGTTTTCGATAAACAACTGAATCGGTAGATACGAAATGTTTACACTGTTTCCATGGCAACTTACAGCTTAATATTATGAAGACGTAATACAAATAGCGATTTTTAAAAAATGATCACCAATGGAATATCCAACATTTGTCTATTATGTGTGTGTGTCTGAACATTTTATTCCGTTTTATCTATAACGTGATGTAATCTCGTGTATGTTTAACGATGAATAATGACATTCCAGTATAAAAGCTGTTATTGCTGTATCGACATCACAATTTATTACAAAGTGCTTCGAGTTTCGTCTGTCCCGTTGACTAGCTCTTTCAAGAACAGATTTCCACACAAGGGCGCGAGAAATGATTTCAGCGTTCATCTCATTGTCTGTCAGGTTCAGCGGACTCGTGCATCTGCCGAGAGGTTTTATCTAAATACGTCACGACCTGTAGAAGTGACCCCGAATGTAAGGTGTAGGCAGGATGACTCGAAGCGTGAAGCAGCAGCCTAAACAAAGGGCTGACCTCGTGGGCGAAGCGGAAATTTGCATTCTTG